AAGAAGCTGTTCCGGTACCTGGTGGTTTTAGTCCGGAGGCTCCTGTAGCGCCTCCCAGAGGGCAGGAGGGTGAAGAGTCTGTGCGCTGGGTGGCTGAAGTCTTTTATGATTTTCCCAGCCCTTTTCAGACACCGCTTCCTGTAGATGTCCTTTATGGCAGGAAGTGGTGATCTGGTGATGTGTTGGGCGGCTTTCACCACCCTCTGCAGCGCCTTCCGGTCTGAGGCAGAGCAGCTCCCGTACCAGACTGTGATGCAGTTGGTCAGGATGCTTTCAATGGTGCAGCGATAAAAGTTCACCAGGACGTCTGAGGACAGGTGTTTTTTCCTCAGAGTCCTCAGAAAGAAAAGGCGCTGGTGAGCTTTCTTGATCAGTTTGGAACAGCCGGTCGTCCAGGTGAGATCCTCGGAGATGTGGACACCCAGGAACTTGAAGCTGTTCACACGCTCCACCACCTCCCCTTGATGTAGATGGGTGGATGTGGGCCAGCGTTTCTCCTGAAGTCCACGATGAGCTCCTTAGTCTTCTCAGTGTTGAGCAGCAGGTTGTTGGTGTCACACCACTCAGCAAGACGAACCACCTCCTCCCTATAAGCAGTCTCATCGTTGTCTTTGATGAGGCTGATCACCGTGGTGTCATCTGCAAACTTAATGATGGTATTGGAACCATCAACAGGTTTGCAGTCATGGGTGAAGAGGGAGTAGAGGAAGGGACTCATCACACAGCCTTGTGGTACACCGGTGTTAATAGTGACGGTAGATGAGTAGTGGTTATCCAGCCGGACATGTTGGGGTCAGTTGGTCAGAAAGTCCAGTAACCAGTTGCCCATGAGGGAACTGATGCCCAAGTCTGTGAGTTTTGTGATGAGTTTGGCGATGAGCTAATAATACTTGTGCTAATGCCAATTCTACCCTGTATTCTGAAGCATGCTCAATAATCCAGGTAGAAAATCTAAAAAAAAGTTAAGTCAGGTCCCCTGGATGGATTCTTCTTTGTTGAAACGTTTCGTCTTTTATCCAAAAGACTTCTTCAGTCTGAGGAACTCAGTCTTATAAATAGCACCTTATCATAGCGGATCAACCAGTTTGCTGGAAACATCCAAAACTACAGTGCCTTGCGAAAGTATTCGGCCCCCTTGAACTTTTCAACCTTTTTCCACATTTCAGGCTTCAAACAAAAATATATAAAATTTAAATTTTTTGTGAAGAATCAACAACAAGTGGGACACAATCATGAAGTGGAATGAAATTTATTGGATGTGTCAAACTTTTTTAACAAATAAATAACTGAAAAGTGGGGCGTGCAATATCATTCGTCCCCCTTGCATTAATACTTTGTAGAGCCGCCTTTTGCTGCAGTTCCAGCTGCAAGTCTCTTGGGGTTTGTCTCTATCAGTTTTGCACATGGAGAGACTGAAATTCTTGCCCATTCTTCTTTGCAAAACAGCTCGAGCTCAGTGAGG